AGAGGAGGGCGGAGAGGAGAAAAGAGCATGAATAGGCACTCAGAGAGCAAACTTGGGAACCAAGGCTCTGCAAACACTGGCTGCTGTGTGACCTGGATTGCGTGGGAACGGGAAAGGAGAGCAGGGGTGACGACAGAAGACGGGGGGACTCTAATAACCAAGGACATCCTTCCTTCCACTACCAGGTCTGCCAACACTGACGACCATTCTCTTACCTACCCACAAAGATTTAAGATAGAATAGTGACTTTTCCCAACTTGGGGCCCGGGTAGATACAGAACCAGGGGATAAGACTGGGGAACAGAACAATTTCAACTGTAACCACAGAACTACTCTGGAAGAAACTGGTGAGATAGATGTCTCTTCCTTCCTCGTATCCACACCTCCAGTCACAGGTGCAAGAAAGGAACTTAAGCCTCTGAGGACAGGACTAAACCCTCCCCCAACCCGCGATGTTTAATAAATAGTGGTAGGAGAAGGGGATGGGAAGGAATGTGGAACTGGAAGGTGGGGGTTATAGTTCATCATTCTTCAGGGCTGGCCTCTGTCCTGTAGGCTGCTGCTTCTGTTCAGATTCTGTTGGGAGTTGGGGAGACAAAGGAATAGCAGCAGATGAAGTAGAGGTCACTGGCCCCAGTTCTGTGCAGATATTTCCCCCAGACCCTCCTCGGCTTCCTGGCACCTCCCACTCCATCCTCACCTGCTCCAGAGCCTTCCAACTCCAGAGGCCCCGTGTCTGCCGGCTCAGATCCTCCTGCTAAGGGAAGGAACAGTTTAGTGTCTGCAGAAAGAAAGAAAGGGCTAACGCGGTGGTCGGCCAACTTTTTCTGTAAAGAGCAGAGAGTACATATTTTAGGATTTGTAGGCCACACTCAGTCTCTGCATTTTTTTTTTAATAACCTCATGGCTGCCGAAACCGGTTTGGCTCAGTGGATAGAGCATCGGCCTGCGGACTGAAGGGTCCCAGGTTCGATTCTGGTCAAGGGCATGTACCTGGGTTGCAGGCACATCCCCAGTGGCAGATGTGTAGGAGGCAGCTGATCGATGTTTCTCTCTCATCGATGTTTCTAACTCTCTATCCCTCTATCCCTCTCCCTTCCTCTCTGTGAAAAATCAATAAAATATATTTAAAAAAAAAATAACCCCATGGCTGTCCAAAACCAGGCCGTGCCTACCCGTTTGCCAACCCCCAGACTAAGCAATGTCCATATTCCCAGTTTCCCCAACTCACGAGTCTCTGTCTCAGGTTCTGAAATGGGCTGTGCATCTTCAGTTTGGCCTGAAGGAAAACCCAGAGTGAAAATGTGATTCCAGAGGGAAAGGCTTTCTTCTGCCCAGCAGCACCTGGAGCCAGGGACCCTGCCTCACCTGGTGGGTGGATGACCCTCTCCCCCTGGTCACTGGCACTGGCATTGAGTGGAGGTTCTGCCCGGGTTTCATTCTTATCCTTGGGCTTGGGCCGGGGCTTGGCAAACTTGGCCTTGTTGAGCAGATACTGCACCTCACGGTCCAGGGCCATCATCTTGGCTTCGATGTCTTTGGAGAGCAACACTGGCTTCTCTGTGGTGGGCAGCTTGGCCTGCTCGGCCAGCGTTGCATTCTTCCAGGCCTGTGGATGAGGCCAGCACAGCTCAGAGCTAACAATGGAGATAGCAGACATCTCTGTGCCAGATGACCCACAACTGCCTGAGGTTCTTCCCCTGGACCTCATCACTCTGCCACCTTTGGTCATCAGCCCCACACGGGTAAGCAAACTCCTTAGAATGACATTCAAGGCTCTTCACAAGGGAGTCTCACACTACACATTTCTGTCTCATATCCTATTGCTTTGTAATTCCAGCTGAACCACTTGATTGTTCCCTTCCCTTTTAAAAAAGATATTACTTTTTACTGATTTCAGAGAAGGGAGAGGGAGAGATAGGGACATCAATGATGAGCGAGAATCACTGATCAGCTGTCTCCTACATGCCCCCTACTGGGGACCAAGCACCATAACCCAGGCATGTGCCCTTGACCAGAATGGAATCTGGGACCCTTCAGTCCACAGGCCGACTCTGCGCCAAACCAGCTAGGGCTGATTAGTCCCTTCTTGTCTCTTCACTTCTGGGCTCTGGTTCAAAAAATGTCCCCACACACCCAAAAGTTTCTTCACATGACAAATCCTTCTCACCTATCCAAACCCCGGGCCACTCTTGGAGTGCACCTCATGCCCTAGCTCCTCAAGCAATCCTTCTCTAACCTCACAGGAATGGGCCCTGTTGCTCCTCGTTTGACCACTCCTGGCTCTAACCCTTGTTTAGGACAATCAGACATGGCCTCAAATGCAACATCTTTGCCTTCCTGACTAGCTGCTAAGCCAGGGGCAGAGGCCTGCCGAGTCTCCATTTCTCCGCACCCCATGCTGCCTAGGACGGCACGCTTTGCCAGGTGAGTACGCAGTTAAGTATTTACACAGGGATTACCCAGGTCTCATTGATGACTCTCTCCAAGGTTGTCATCTCCACCTCAGTGAAGATCTGGTCCATCTCTGGGATAAGCCGGGCCCCTCTGGAAGCCAGAGGAGAGACAGTCAGCTCAGGAGGAAGTGGGGCCTGGGGAGTGGGCGTGGCAAGACTGAATAAGGAAGGAAGGGTAAGGAGCTGCTCACTTGAGGAACATGCTGGAATGGTTGAGGAGATTATCAAGGGCAGACAGCCGTTCAGGCCACTTCTTGCGCTCTTCCACCCGAAAAAACAACCCGTGGCACAGTTTCCTCAGCTCAGCCAGCTTCTCCTTCAGCATCTGATGGAGAGGGGATGAAAGGGTAACAGGACAGCCCTGAAGCCAGCCCCACAGCCTTCCAAAGGTCTCATTCCCCGGCTCTTCTGACCTCTCCGACCCTGGAAGGAGACTCCCATCCCCCCCCGTACCCTAGGAGCCCCCTCACCACTGTGGTGGCCCCAAAGCCTTCATCCTCCAGCCAAGTGGAAGCGGCACTGAGTCTCCCGGAGATCTCCTCACGCTGCTGCTCGGTGGACACTTCCTGGTACTCGGACTGGTATAGCTTGTCCTGGGGAGGTGCACCCAAGGGGCAAACATGCAGCCAGCAGAGGGCGAGGCTGAGTCAGACTCTCCCAGACACAGGGCCCAGGGCAATCTTGACTCCCACCCTACCAACCTGGGTCTCAAAGATGAACGCTTCCAAGCTGTTGGCAGCTTGCTCCCGCTCCTGCTTCTCTAGATCTCGGGCTGTCAGGTCTTGCAGTCTGCGGGACAAATGGAGAGACAGGCAGAGGGAGAGGCGTGCACACCGGAGGCACCACTGTGCATCCTGCCCACCTCCGGAGGCACACACCTACACCCACAAACATACACTCAGTCTTGACTTACTTCTGTGCCGAGCGGGCCAGCTCATCCTCGGACAAGTCGGGTAGGTCCAGTACAACCAGCTCCACCCCGACCTCCTCGACCATCCTCTGCTTCCGGGAAGGCTGCTGCTTCTTTTCCTCCCCTGGGGCCGGAGGGACACCCTCAGACCTTGCTTCCCCCTTGTCACTTGGCTTCTGTGGAGAAAGATGAAGATGTCAAGACAAGCTCAGACCCTTCTATCTCCCAGCCAGGGACCCAGGGGAAGAGAAGCAGGCAGAGAACTGCTCCCTTCACCTCTGGGTCCAGCCTGGAGCTCACCTGGGCCTCAGACTTGTCCCCATTTTCTTTGTCTGTAGCCTTTTCTCCCTCAGAGGCCACACTGCCCTTAGGCTCAGGGGGTGGGGGCAGAGAGGTGTCCTCCACTGGGGGCTCTCCTTCCTCCCGGCGCTCCGCTTGCTCTCCAGGCTCATCCTTGCTCCCCTCAGCAAGGCTTTCCTCTTCCTCCTGGAAAACAATCCCAAGCCACAGAGGACAGTCAGGACCTAGGGAGAAGACCAGCTTCCCAATGCCAGGCCCCGTGGCTCTGAAGAGATCTCAGTGTGAAGACAGACAGGACAACCGCAGAGAGACGGGCATTGCGCTGCTTCAACTGCAGCCACCTGGTCAGAGGAGAGGGTCTGGAGATGAGGGAAGTGGGCTGAGACCTTGAGCACAGAGACAACTCACAATGCAGAGTAGGGTATGCTTACTTGTCATGGGCTAAGGAGAGGGAGAGCTATTACACTAGGCAGTTGGGACACCCACCCACTCCCTGTCCCACATACCAGCTCCCAGGTTCTCCTGGCTCCATTCTGGGCTTACCTGAATGGTGCTGGTACCATTCTCCTTGGAATCTGCTGTGGTGCCTCCTCCAAACAGGCTGGAGATGGTGTTGCCAAGTTCTAGGGGTAAGAAAGCCCAAGGACTCAAAGGGGACCCCAGCAGTGACCCTGCCTCCTCAAAGGCAAGGCGTGCTCAGCTCCCCAACATGCACAAAACTATCCCCCCCCCCCCACACAACACAACACACAACCCAAAGAATGGCAATGTTGTCCCCCATATTTTATACACTCCAATCCAAAGAGTAGACTGTACGTGGGTTACATGAAATCCACTGGTGACATTTTAGGAAGGCGGGAGAAAGCAGAGCCCCCCCCCCCCCCCCACACACACACACTCGCACACACGCATCTCACTGGTCAGAGTCGATTCTTCTTCTGTGCTGTCTTCCACCAGTGTCTCAAACACAGACTCCACCTGAAAAGAGGGTTCAAGAGGAAGAAACATGTGTTTTTGCCACGAACCTCCTGCCTTGGTAGGTCTGTGATGCACATCTATGACTCCCAGCTGTGCTGGCTTATTCTCCCACCGACCTTCTTCTAAGGGCTCTTGGATCAAGCCCCCGGCCCCACTTGGATTATGGGTCCTCTGAACACAGGTCCCTTTCTGCCCAGAGCCTGCACTTCTCCACTGGACAACAGAATGGCCATTGTGTCCACACTATGTATGCTCAGAAAGACCTTAGCCCTCAGAATTGTTCTTCAAAACTGGGTTCCTTGGCTACTGTACAGACCGACATTTACAATGCCCAGAAGCATTTACAGGCTATGAGGAAGGCTACACCACATCCCCGCCTGGTTAACTTCATTTAAAGCCACTCTGAACCCTTCTCGTTTTCATATTCTAGAAAGGCTGGGGGGCTGGGCCCCGCTGGCACCCCTGCGCGCACCCTGTCCAGGCTGAGCACGCCGCTCTCATCCAGATTGAAGTGAGCCTTGATGCCCTTGGACTCATGGTTGGGGTACTTCCTGAAGCTCTCGCCCACACCTTTGAGCTTCACTGTGGTCAGATTCTGGGAGCCAAACACCCTGGTTGGGAGAAAAGAGCAGTTCAGGGGAACCCACTCAGCCTGGACAGGATGCTGAGGCCCTCCCCCAGGACACACTCAGGAGAAGGGCAGCACCCTCTAGAGAAGATGCTTACCCCAACCCCAACCCTGGGCTAGCCCTGCAGCCCCTGGTCCTCCCCCGCCCCAGCTCCATCCTGCCCCGCCCCAGCCCCTCACCGAAGATCCTCAGGCCCCAGGAAGCCCAGGTCACCATAGTTGATGTGGAAGTTGAAATCATGGCTGTAGCGGTTAAAGGTGATAACTTTTCGTTGAGGGTAGGGCCCCATCCGGGAGAAAAGAACACGCTTATTGTGCTTCAGGCTGCGAACGCCAGCCTCCTCGTCCACCTCCCTGGTGAACTCAACCTACACAGCAAGCAGAGGGGGCACAGGGAGGAGCCAAGAAGTTCGGGGGTAAGGGCGGGTGAGAAACAGGCTGGAGTGGGCAGAAGGGGAGCTCACACGTGGAGAGGGGAAGGAGACTTGCCGCCAAGCACACAGGCTAACTCACCAGGATAGGGTAGATCACTGCATCTCGGACTATGAACGGCTTCACCTTGAAGGCTTTGCTGAGCGCGGCTGCCTGGTACACAGCCCCCATGGCGGCTGCTTCGTCTGCATTGATGTTCTTCCCTAGCTCCTCCCTGTCAAAGTCCCGAGCGTCAGGACCGTCATTCTGTAGCTCCCAGCCTGGCCTCCCTCCTCCCAGCCCTGCAGTCCTAGCCCCAGACTCACTTGCCCACAGCCTTCAGCAGCACCTCCTGAACTTTGGGGACCCGAGTGGCCCCACCCACCAGGATCACCTGCTCAATCTCATCCTGCAGAGGGAGAAAGAATGTGAGATGGGATAGCAAGTAACGGACTCCCTCCTCAGCACTGACTCTGCCTCTGATGTTCCTGCTCCCTCCTCCCACCACCTCATCACCACTAACCCACCGGCCTCCTGCCCCAGGCCCGCCTCCCACGCCCCGCTCACCAAGTTCATTTTGGCACTCTGGAGGGCCTGCTGCACAGGCCCAGGCACCCGCTCAAATAAGTCTGCACACAGCTCTTCGAACTCCGCTCTAGTCACCTTTGCCTTGAAGTCCACGTCATCCATGAGGCCCTCAATCTGGAGAGGCAGGCATGTCAGAGTTCTCGCCCAGGCCCCGCTTCCTGGGCGGGTGGGCAGGACTCAGGGAACGGGACTTTCCAAGGATGGCAGGAGGCATGGGGAGAAGGGCTGGGCCACGCCAGACACAAGCAGCCTGGTGCTAGGTAGTGGGTCTTCCACCCTCTGAGTGAAGAATATTGCCCTCAACCAGCGACATGTGGGCACCTGTGCCATGTGGTCAGCGTTGGCACTCAGGACAGTTTTGACTCGATTAGCCTCTCGCAGCAGCTTGGCCATGGCACGGGGGTTCTCCCTCACGTCCTTTACGCTCTGGCCCTTGCGCTGCTCATTGAAGAGCCCAGCCAGGTGCTCACGCAGCCGGAGCTCCATCTCCAAGCCTCCCAGAGTGCGGTCAAACCTGCTCAGGAAAGGCAACAGGAGCAAGTAGGAGCAGCCCCCTAAGGACCCCTTCACCTACACAGGGACCTGACTCTCCCACACGGAGACACCTCAGTGACGGTTCACCCGCCCATTCAACTGCATTTACGAGGCATCAACTACGTATTTGTCTCTGGGGATGTAATTGTGAGAAGAAAGACAGGGTTCCTGCAGACAAGGAGTATACAATCTAGCAATCAAATAAATGTGAAATTTTAACCACTTCCACGTGTTTTAAAGGAGAGGCAGACAATGCTGTTAGAATCTATAGTGAGCAAGTTCAGCTATTTCGAGATGTTGGAGAAAGTTCTGTGAAGAAGTGAGCGTAAGCTGAAACCTGAAGGATGGTTCAGTTAACTAGTGAAGAGAAAAGGCATTCTAGACAGGAAACGGCCTGGGAAAGACCCGGAGAGCATGGTCAATTCCCAGCGAGGGCAAGTATGGCGGAAGCTCCAAGAGCAAGAGGCTCAGGTTTAGAGACCAGCGCGCTGGCACAGCCTTTAAGCCCAGGTAAAGGTTGAAGCCACCGAAGGGGTTTTGAAGCAACGTGTTATAATCAGGTTGGCCTTTTGGAAAGAGCCCTCTAGCTACAATGTGGAGGAGGAACTGAAGGAGCCCACACTGGAAGCAGGACTTTGGAATGCTCCAAGTTAGAGGTGATGGTACCCTGAACTAGGATGGTAGTAGTAGAGATGGACAGAAAAGGATGGGTTCAAGAAACAAGGTAATGACAGTGGTAAGTTATTAAGTAAACTGGAATGGTAAGACAGCGAATAGACTGAATCTGACATCCTACAGATGGCCTACAGCCTTGTGTCTTCTTAGAAGTCACTAGGTTCCCTGCCTTTCACCTTCCCAAACTGTCCTCCCTGCCTCCATCCTCCCGTGCTTTTTGGCAGAAGTACCCTACAATGATTGACAACACTGTAACCAGACAGCATTCTTGCAAAGACCAGGAAAGTGAGGCAACTGCCCCTCCAAGCAGACCCCCCGACCTGAGGGTCTCTCAGCAAGCAGCCTTCCTCCCAGAGCCCACCTACCCGACTCCCTGGATCTGTAGCTGTGGCTGCATCCCCGCCTCCTTAGTCTTCACTGTCTGGTAGGTCACGATGGTGCACACAGTGCTGCCTGAGCCCATGTCATAAAACATGATGTTCTACAGAGACATCAAACCAATCGTCACAGGAACTTTATCCAACTCCAGGGTGCCTGCCTGCTTCCATGGGGCTGCACCAACTCTCAGCTAAAGGCCCAATGGCTCCATCCGGCTAGGGTGGCTCTGGTTGAGCACTGACCTATGAACCAGGAGGTCATGGTTCGACTCCCAGTGAGGGTGCATGCCTGGGTCGTGGGCTCTATCCCTAGCTTAGGGTGTGCAGGAGGCAACCAATCAATGATTCTCTATCATCACTGATGTTTCTATCTCTCTCTCCTTCTTCCTTCCTCTCTGAAATTTAATAAAAAAAATATATATATAT